CAAAATGTTGCTTTAGATTCGTCTCATGTTACTCTGTAATAAAAAATTTAATGTCCAAATTCAACCCTTCCTCAGTAAAATCAAACATGTGTTTTTGTTTCTTTGTAGTGTGGTCACAGGCTTACCTACCACCACAAAAGCCCCTCCTCCCTCTCAAAAATGGGTAAGAGGGAAACAGGTTGGACGGGGGCTTATATACCTTGTGAGTGGAAGCTCACACTCAATGACCATTCAACCATAGGAGAGACTGTGGCCCTTATTCAAGGGGCTTTAAAGGAGATAGATGAGGAAGGAGTCATGGAAGTGGAGACTTGTGAAGATTTTCTCCACATAATGTTCAATCCCTTGCGTCAAATATTGTTTATACTTTACAAATGCCAAATACATAATATGTTCAGTCCCTGTGCTTTGCAAAGGTCAATCTGAAACAGGAAAAATGCCACACTCTCCCCCATCAATACCTTTGCATGAGCAATAAGCCCACATTTTATGTCATAATATTGAATATGTTTGTATTTGAATAAATCCTAAATTATTGAGATTCTCTCCATGAAAAAGCATTTATATTAATGTATCCCTCCCTAATAAATAATACATGAGAGACATATTGAAAACCTATGTCAGCTGCTACTGTCTTCATTATATCAATTAAGCTTTGGTTTTTGGGTTTTCATGTCCAAGAAGGTGTTAAAAAACAAGATTTTGAGATATAAGAGTGTGTATAATATGCGAGCCAGCGAGCCGTGGCAGCGAGTCATGCAGGTCAGATACGACTCATTGAAAAGAATACATAAAAATCGAAAACAGTAATACCGAAAGAATTAACTAAAAGCTAACCATGGTAAATAAGTGTTTAACCCTAAACAGCACTTAATCATGACCCTAACCCCAACCTAAACCCTAATCAGTAAAAAGAATGCTCAACTGTAATCTGTAAAATTTGCAGTTTTTACTTGTTTTTACTTTATTTTTGCTGATGGTCTGCGTGACTTGCATAGCTCCCTTGCTCGTAGTTTATGTCAGGACCAGAAATAAAATGTTTATTTACAAAAAACAAAATGTAACAATAAAATTAATAATTTTTATAATTGTATCTTTACTCTGATGTGTGAGCTTTGTTTTCTTGAAAGTGCTGTTCAATAGAAACATGGAGAACTATGAAAAAGAACTTTGGAAAACTTATGTTGTGTCCATGCCAAGTGCAGCAATCATTATTATTTTGGGCCAAACCTTGTCTAATAGAATTGTTTGAGGGTCCCCACAGAGAAGACTTGGAGAAAAGTGCTCCTCAAAGTTACAATGTCTTTGGTTTGAGGGCAATCCCAGAGTTAAAAACAATAATTTAGTATTATTCGGATATACATCAAATCCCATATAAGAGGGTATTTTATAACAACCCATAACCCTGTTGATCTCTGACCTCTGGTCAAATCCGGTGGACTATAAGACTAAAGTATCCCATTTCAATCAATATATCCAAAAACATGTAAGAGGCATTCTTAGTTTTCCAATATGTATATTAAATTCTAAAGAGTCTCTTGCACTTGTTAAGCTTGAGCAAATAATCAGTGAACTTCAGACAGTGGAATAATTGAAAGCAATAGGTTTTTTGGAAGCGGGACAAAGAAAAAATGATCACGGATGATATTAAAGCAAGATTTTCACTTTGTGGGTTTTCAAGAAGAAAACGCGAACACAATACCGTCAGAAATCCCTTGTAAACCTGTTGTATACCTGGACGGAACCGCTTCAGGACATACACCAACAGAACATCATATTCGAAAAAAACAGATATTTTACTCACAAATGACTCGCTTGCACCAAAACAATAACCTGAATTACAGCCGTCTTCTCTGGCCAGTCGCTCACTCCCCGAGAGAGAAACAGAAGCAACGGGAAAAATTATAGTAAAACTTACTCTTTGCAAACATAAGGAAATAAATTATAGAACAACTCACTTTTTTAGTTGTTTCCAAAGCATTCTTTTTCCTTATAATATAAAAAATTAATGAAAGAAATAGGCACAAACTTGTTGCGTGCTTACCTATTTTCGATGTACTGATTACATACGCAGTGAGTACGAAGTGCCTACAAAGCGCGCAATAAGCGAAGAACTATAGCGCAAGAATGGTTACTCCTTGTCCTCAAGGTACTTCCCAATTCATAGTAAGGAGAAGACAAATTAAAAAGTTCGATGAAACAAGAATAAACGAGAATTTCTGTCAATACTCTTTCCTCTCCCTTGTCCGCCATTTTGTATGTTTTGAAAGTGACCATCGCCATGGTGATCATGTTATGGTTGGTGACGTAGACCATTGTTTTCGCTTCTTCCAAAACTGGCATACTCCCGAACTGCTTAGTAAGCCAACCCAAAACAATGACGCAGTAAATAAAGATTACGCTGACAAACTAGTTCATCACACTGTATTTCAACCAAGTCATTACAAGGATCAGTTTGCTCATCTCATGACAAGAGCGGCTCAATGGACTGATGAAATAGATACTGGAACCAGTTTTGTTATAAAAAGAATAGGAGATTTAGCACCAAACAAAGGAAACTTTCATGATTATAACCACAAAGTTATTTTTACGGGTATAAACAAAAGTTCTCAAGGAGGATATAAGTATAAAATGGGAATCAACTTTTTCAGGTTAAGTGCAAATACTGAATACACACTGTGTTTGGAAATACTCAACACTGATTATCAACTGTGGCATAAGTCTCAAATAAGTGTAAACAAAGAAACTTCAACAGGATTATCAATTGGAAATGTTAGTGTAAGGAAACTATCTCATAGGTACACACAATCAAATGGGCAACCACAATTTATGTATTATCACAGAATAATAGTTAATTTCCGGAAGTTGTCAACTGGTAATAAGTTCTTTCTTCACATTTTGGTTAATATACCACAAGATGGAATTGACTTAATCGTTTATCCGAGACAGTTTTCAGGAGTTTATATAATTACTTATGGTATTGTGGGAATATTTAGCAATATCGATCCAGATAAAGTTTATGATTATCACACCGCATTTGATATCAAACCAACACAAGTGGTTTACAATGTTGATATTAATGCAAATAATAAAAAAATATTGAACGTTAATCTTGATAGAAACAGTAACAATAGTGCTGCAACAGTTGGAATGGTAAAGGAATTAAATCCTCACACTATAAACAATCTTTATAGGGAAATTTTTGAAGAAATTTATGATTTTACTAATGCCGCTAATTACAAATTAAGTAGTACCGCATCTGGTATTGTTTTTAACAATTTATCTTCAAGTGGTGGTAATACTTTAAGAGATATAAGAATACCTGATAAAACCATAGATAATATAAAAAAAGAAGGTCTAAATGTTAACGGATATTTTATTAGTTTTTCTCCTCCTGATGGAATAACAAAATATACTTTATGTATTGTTTTTTATCATTGGAGAAATAGAATATTTTATTTAACTAAAAATGATACAAATAGCCGAAATATTTTATTAAAATTAGATTATAATTCATCAAATAATAAAGTAAGTTTAAATGTTAATAAACTAAAAAGTTCTTTTACCTTACTACATGATTTTAATGGGAAAAAAATTGTTATATGGTTAACAGAAAATTTTAACTCAGATATTACAAAAGTTAAAATAAGTAACTACAGCGCAATATTAAGTTTACCATCCGTTCGTTACTCCAACGAACAATATTTTGCGTTTAGAACTAATGATGGAGTTATAAGCAAAATAATGTTTTCTCCAAACTTTTACGACACTGATTCTGAGCAATATCATAAAGTATTGCTTCAAGAAAAGTTAAATGGAAGTTATGTAATTTAGATAGGTGTAACCAAGGGAGTGGTAATAATATAAACAAAAGAATAAAATGAAGGATATCTTTGAATTTAATCACATTGATAAATCTTTGTCAGAATCAGACGTTAAAACCCTCAAAGACTTTTATAAACACTACCACAAAAAATACTGGTGTTTTAAGAAATCATATAAAAGTTATAAATTTCTTGATGATTTTTTTACAATATCTGGGATATGTTTGGTTGCAATTGGAACTATTTCTGGTGGGATAACCCTTAACCCTGTTGTTCTTGGAGTTGTAAATGGAGCTGGATTAATAGTGGCGGGAATAGGAAAGAAAAATAATTATAAGAGAAAAATTGAGATGACAAGGATTGCATTCACTAATTATGAAAAAGTACTTGTTGAACTGCGGTCAGCTCTTCGTGGAGATGAGTTTAATAAACAAGAGTTTGTTGATCGCATGAAGTTGGTAGATGAAATCATAATTGACCAAACACCTATAGCAGATAGATTTGTTAGTAGGTATGAAAAAAAGTTTGGTCTAAGTAAACAGTGATTTTAATATCATTTTAATATTAAAATCTATCCGGTTTTCAGTGATTTATAACTATCCCACCAATTTTCATAATTATCTAAAGTTTGTGGTGAAATCTTAAGATAAACTAGTTTTCTCGCTTTTCTCGATTCACCCCCCATCTCATCCAAAAGTTTTTTAATTATATATTCAATACTTATCATTCTCTTTCTGTTGTATTCTTTGTTTAGTATTTCCATGACGTGATTGTCTATTTCCATTAACTTACTATAAAGTTCGTTTTTTTGTTCGTTGGTTAGGTTTATTCTTTTAGAAATTTTATTAACCTTTTTTTCATAGTAATACTTACGTTGATATACGCTCTTTTTTCGATAATGCAATCTATCAAAATCTTTATTATCGTAAAAGCCTAATACATGTCCATTTGCTACTCCACATTCATCACAGATTTTATAACCATAATCAATGTTAAAAGATGTTCTGTTTTCACAATTACTACATTTAGCTTTTAAATTTGATTCATCTGAGGAATTAATACTATAATCACCCAATATTCCAAGATATTTCTTTATTTGGTCTTCTGTATATCTCATTTATTATTAAATTTTATTAAATTCACTTATCTTAAAGCTATGGTTTTTACCTCTCCCAAGAGGACTTTGCGTTTGTCATCTTCATTACTCAAAGCTATTTTGTTAACTTCTTTTGAATATATATCATGATTTTCACTTCTTATTATATTCATTTTTCTCATTTGTTTTTTACCTGAAAATAAACATTGTACATAGTCATCAAAATCTAATTTCTTTTTCACAACATTTTTCTTTATTCCTTTACATTTTCGCACTTCTTTATCCTCTTCTATTCTGAAACTATAAAGTTTTGGTCGTAATCCAACAAAACAAGTTATTTGTTTTCCTGCTACTTCATCTTTAAACATCCCAATTACTTTTTTGTTAACTCCTGACGGTATTCCAGATTCGTGATTAGGAGGATAATCAGAAGTGTCAAACTTTTTTTTTATATCACGAGATATATCTTTGTAAAAATCATCTGTGTAAATATGGTACATTAATGAGTCTGTATCTGTAAACAATAACTCAGCTTTATTTTTGTATTTCTTTCTTATGTAGTTATAATGAAAATCAAACATCAATGTTTTTGACAAATCAAGAATTGCTTGACCTACATATACTGGTTTGTCAAAATAAACTTCTGTTTTTTTCATATGAACAGCTATAAGATTTTTATCAAATATCGTAGCCCTTTCAAAGTTTGGACGCTTGTTAGTTTAGCAGCTTTCTTACGATTATCAACGACTTCTATATTTTGTCTTTTTCGTATATTTTCTATTGTTTTTCCGAACACTGAATTATTCATAAGTTTGAAAAAGTCTTTCTCAAAACTGTTAGCTGCTGTTTTTCGAAGTTCTGTGTTCTTTCGTATATATGGTTCCATCCAAGGTCTTTGGTAAAAAGATATTCCTCTATGAACCGCAGTTATTCTCATTCCCATTTCAAGATACTGCCTTAAATTTCGATAATGAACAACATAGTTTTTTCTTGGTTTAAAATGACAAATTAGTTTTTCAACGCCATTAACAATCATCTCATAGCGAGCCGCAAGCCTTAGCGACCGAAATATGGGGGAAAATTTGTCCCCCATCTGACCAGGAAGCCATTGTTTAAATTCAGCCAAGCATAGACCGTTGACAGCTTGAAACCATACTTGAGGTGAGATGGGAATCTCCTTTCGTGACCTCCTACTGAAGCTTTATTCGACATATCTTTCAACGGATCATTTTAGCAGACACTACAGAAATAATAAAACTGAGCTGATGAGACGAAAACAACTAAAGAAAAGAACCTGGTGAAGTAAAAATCACTCCGAAACAGCGCACCACTCGGAAAACTTGCGGCGGTGTAGAGGAGTTTTGCACAAATTATTTAACCGGGGATACCTCAGAATCAACATGCATTTATTTACCACAAATGAACGAACTGCAGCGATTTAAATAAATTTGATTGAATTTAAAGTATAAATTTAAATAATTTTCATTGTAGCTTTTTCTGGGGAGCAGAATTTAAATCGGGACTATTCCCTTTTTTTGAGAAAAGGCCGGTGAAGTTTTCTATTTCATCTTGCTCGCGGCGTAAAAAGGCTGTTATATTTTTCTTATAATAAAAAAACTTGTAAGGTCACCTATATGATGTTCATTAATTATGACTGAAACCATTTATTTCGTTCAAAACGGACTTGCGAGCCATAACCAATAAAAACCAAGTTCCCTTGCATTAAGCGAAGGCGACACACCCGATCGCTTGCTTTTTCAGGCGACTCACCCAAAAGAGCACGTGCAGACGGAACTTTGGTCATTGTTTTGAATCCGAAGAATAAGTTCAATTGCGAATTTTACAGCGTCTAGTTGAAACGCAATTTTAGCAATCCCCAAACAAAATAAAAACATATTTGGCAAGACGTTTCAAAAACTATTTTTCAAGCTTCCTTGGCCGCCTCGTTCTTTACAGAAAGATTCATTAAATATACACGTTTTACAAAGTCTTCTTGCACTAAGCGAAGGCGACTCACCCGATCGCTCGCTTTTAGTCAGGCGACACACCCAACATAAAAGGCACGTACAGAATACCCTGAGCCATGTACATTTTATGAATCTGTTTTAGTTTCGGTGAATTAAAGCTCTCTGGCTGTTAATGAAAAATAATAGAGACCGTACGCGTTCTTGCAGTGGTGTTTTTTTGAAAAACAAATAGGGGGGAACGGCGATGGACGCAACCAATCAACTAAAATTCATTTCGATTCCCCGGTAAAAATTATAGAAAAGAAAAAGAAAGCTGCTAAGATTCAGAGACTTACAAATAACGAGCAACACTCAACCCTTCTCTGTGAAGTACATTTAGGACGGTAGGGGTATGGGTAACACGAGCATGTGTTATTTTTAACGCGTTTTAGTCACTCATTTCGTTGTTGATCAAAATCTTTTGTGAGGTTGATACTTCGAATATCCCTTATTTATGGTTTTGTAGCACAATTTGCCACCAGTGGGAGTCAGTTGGCCTATCCGATATACTACTAGGAAAACGATTGTTTTCATAGGCAGTGAACGCATGCAACAATGCAATACTACGCATAATTACAGACTACAAGATAATTTTCTCATTAATTCAAACAAATTAAAGATCTGAGCATGTAACGACAACTATAAATCGCACTGGATCATGATGTAGCATTTAAACTTCGGCAACAAGCAAAACAGCTGTAAAAAGATAAAATATGTGGCAATTTGGCCGCTATGTGTGTACGTGTATTATGAAACTCGGATGTCTGCAATTTTCAACACATTCCATTGTTTATAGAGAAAACGTAGCGCAAAATTAATAATAAAGAAGCTTCTCGACTTTTTTATAAGGGTACTTCTTGCAGTAACACAAAATTGCCTCCAGTGGAAGTTGCGCTGGGCCTGTTTCTTCCTAAACACTGTACGATCACTCACGAGCGCGCCACATTAAATTTGGCGGGCATTTAGGAGGTTTTGGCGCGGATATGTTCGAGGCAGAAATAAATAAATTAAAGGAAAAGAATCGAACATTGTCCTTACCTTCAAGGCGTCTTACGATTAAGCAAGTCATAAAAAAACCAGAATTAATGTGTCGCTAGGTAAACCTACTGATTTAAGGCTGAAATGGCCTCGCTTCTGAACCCATGTGACGAAGGAAGGCTGGCCATCTCAGTTTGAACTCTGCTAACCTGTTCGATCTGTTAAAATTTTCTTTCAAATACCAACAAGCTTGTAAGGGAAATGAGTTTGAATCAACACAGAAATTCTCGACCGGGATAGCGTAAAAAAGAATCCATACAATGATGGCTTGATCGGGATGATCCGATCCGGAGAATAGTTGAATAGACCGCGCTCGACTATATTTACCCCGGCTAATACTGTTTTAACCATATTACCAGACAGTTGCGAAATTTAGGATTGTTTCATCGCCTCTGTAAAAATCACTATCGATGACAGCCAGTCGGACCCCTGCTAACCTGCACGAGATCGGAGGTAAAATTATAACAGGAAATTGAGCATAGCAACCGTCACTCAACGTAATTAGTAAAGGGACTTTATGCGGCTCCTCATGTTTCAGGTGCAAGTGGATAGTCATTATGCTCTTCCCATAGTTTTTTAGGATATTCCAAATCAACTTCAAATCTATATCCTTTTCTTCCTCGATTTGACATGCTATGATTTGTTTTTTCTAAAATTTCCATTAGTGACTCTTTTGTTAGGTTTCTCATCCATTTAAATCCATGTGTTGGAAGATTTTGAGACATCGCCCAACCATAAAGATTATTCGCATCTAGGTATTGAATAAAGGAGGTCTCCTTATCAGGATTGTAAGATTTCATGTATTTGTTATTAGCTTTTGCGTATCTTTTTGATATGTGAGTTATACCACCACGAATACCTTTTTCAATCATCATTAACATATCATAATCATGTAGTAACTGTAATTCCTGCCCTGTTTCTTTGAGACAAGCATCCCAAGCTAAACCTGGAGATGTGTAATAATGTGCTGGATCTAGCTTGTAATGTTTTAGACAAGTTTTTCTAAAGTTTTCAAATACATCTGACAAAAGTAGGACATCAGACTTTAGGTAAAGATTGTGATAATCTCTTAATGATTTACATTTAAAAGTATTCCACACATTTATTGCGTGTTGGTAATCATCTTCGGTTATGTCTTCATCATTTAGTTTCGAATAAAATTCTTCTTTTGGTGGTAATTGTGTTTCGGATAGTTTTTCAAGTGATGAAACATAATCATAAGGATAAACTCCCTTACGAGTAAGTAGATCTACATTTTTCTTAAATTCTCGTTTTGTATCACGGAAATCATCCGGTTGTAAATTTGAAACAAGATTAGCAAGTGATGTTTGAAGAAACTTAAACGAATCTATGAAACGAATTTCAAAATATAAAGACATCATTTGACCAGTTTTTTTAGACCTGTACTCATCAACTTTAATCTTTTTAGAAAAGGATATGTATTTTTCCTCTGTTGAAGGAATACAATTTAAATATCCTGGTAAACTTGCCAGTTGTTTTATAAACAAATGAGCATCATAACCTTGAAGATTATGAAATATAACTGGAAGAACTAAAGGTTTCCTGCAATTAAGATTACAACTGTTATGAGCAGCACCTCGGTACTGACCTGTAAAATGACAATGATCTCTAACTTTGTCTTCCAATAATTCTTTGTTACAAATATGACAAAATTCCGCTTTGTTAAATGATTTTTGTTCGTCTTTGGATAGTATAAGAGGTTTTGGTTTACGATAAAAATCATTATAAATACCTCTTGTTGCTTCTGTTAGTTTTTCTACGAATATTTTTGCTATATCTTCATCTTCTTCTGTTTTCGAATAAACAATTGGTTTGATTTTTTTATCAACCACACCTTTGATAAAAATACAAAATCCTGATGGTTCATGTTTTTGGTAATTGTAATTATAAGAATCTTCTGGATTAGGACAGCAAGTATTCATTGGTTTGGTAAAACACTCAAAATCCGCATAAGCTACAAAAGGAATAGGAAGTTGTTTGTGATGATTTTTGAAATGTAAAATCGATCCTGATTT